AGGGGACCTTGGAGTTGACAGCAGGCGACGAGGGGACCTTGGAGTTGGCAGCAGGCGACGAGGGGACCTTGGAGTTGGCAGCAGGCGACGAGGGAACCTGGAAGTTGGCAGCAGGCGACGAGGGGACCTGGGAGTTGGCAGCAGGCGACGAGGGGACCTTGGGAGTTGCTGCTGCTGTCAGTGGAGAGGCCAGGGGAGTTGCTGCTGCTGACGACGGAGAGGCCTGGAGCTCTGCAGCAGACGACGGAGAGGCCTGGAGCTCTGCAGCAGACGACGGAGAGACCTGTGGCTCTGCAGCAGACGACGGAGAGACCTGTTGTGCTGCAGCGGCGGCAGGAACCGACTCCTCTGCGGCGGCGGCAGGAACTGATCTTCTGCGGCGGCGACGGGAAACAGAAACTGTTACTGAGTCTTCTGAGGCGACAGGAGCAGGTGCACCAACGGCAAGGCGCTCAGCAGGCGGAACAGCGGCGAAGGTGATGGGTGCAGGAGTCAGAGGAGCAGAGGAGAGTTCAGAAACGGTGGTGCCAATAGGTGCAGGATGGATTATGGGTTCAGACTGTGTATTAGTGACCATGGGTGTGATGAGAGTCCTAATTTCAATTAATAAACGGTTATACTCAGGGAGCAGAATGAGACCGGGCCGTGAAACTAAAAATTCCTCCATCAGGGAAAATACAACATCTGAACAGTCCGGGTTATTTTTAGCAGTGGTAAATGAATCTAATAAAGTCTGGTTTATTAGTGCAAGTTCATGGGGTGAAAATGTGATTGACGGGCAAGTGTCTTTAAGTGAGGGTGTGGTGTCAGGTGTCAGCCTCACCGGAAACCTGGTAGGTGGGACGGCGGAACACGCCCCCACAGAGTCGCTGAGAGTTTGCTCAGGAGGTTCGGTCAGACTGGGTTGGACAGCCGCGGCACTGTGTGACGGTGAGAGGCCGGACTCCGCCCCGACCAGGAACCTGGAAGGTGAGGCCACGGAATCCGCCCCTGTGACGTCAAGTGGACCGGACTCGCCAAACCGAACAGGAGTGGACCGGAGCTCCCGCGGGACGCTGGGTCTCGCCCCCACCGGAAACCTGTGAGGTGAGGCGGCGGGACCAGCTCCCACAAAAACACCGGAACCAACTCTAAGATTCTGCTCAGCTGACGAGACCGGGCCGGTCGCCACAAACTGCCCCCGGGACCGCTTTCTACCTCCCCGGCGACGGCGGGAGAGTCGGGGGACAGGAACAAAACGGAATTCGTCCTCGATTTCTTCGTCCTCCCCCGACATCCACCCCGAATAGCCGGGCGAGGCGGACTCAGAAATAGGAGCCTGGTGGGTTCCCTGGTGCCGAGCTCTGTTCTCCTCGAGGACCAGGAGTGGTGAGGACAGGATTTCCACCTCCTGGTCATAATGTCCTTGTGAGCGGACGGGCCTGGTGCAGAACCCGCCGCACCGGATTGTAGGCTTGCTCATCTTCAGGAGGCTCGGAGGGGAAAAAGAAAAAAGGTAAGTTGCCAAGAGAGCCCTGCCCGCTGGGTTCTGATGTGTGGTCGGGTCGTAATGTCAGGATTTGGTGGACAGGAACGAACCCAGTAGTGCAGACAGGACTCAACTCGGCAGATTACAAAAATAAGTATTTTAATAGAGAATAAAGAACAAAATAACAGCTGACGTGGCAGCAAAACTTACATATAAATGGAAGGCTCAGAGGGAAACTCAGGGAGGACTCAGGAGAGTTCAGGGGAGACGCAGGAGAACGCAGGAGAACACAGAGACCCAACAAATACGACCTGACGAGGAACAAAACAGAACAAATGGCTTAAATACTTGGACAAGACGAGACGTGATTACAAACAGCTGTGATGAGACAAAGGTGGCACCAATTAAACTGACGAGGAAACACTAGGGAAACACAGACACAAACAGAACCAGCAAATGGTACCATCCTTACAAACTCACTGTTAGAGTTGTCTTCTGATAGTTGTCTTCTTGGATCTCATATCTTGGATTTTATTGCTGTTTTTCTTTTACATTTTATTGTTGGATGTACAGTGCCTTGTGAAAGTATTCGGCCCCCTTGAACCTTTCAAACTTTTGCCACATTTCATGCTTCAATCATAAAGATATAAAATTTTTATTTTTTGTGAAGAATCAACAACAAGTGGGACACAATCGTGAAGTGGAATGAAATTTATTGGATGTGTCAAACTTTTTTAACAAATAAAAAACTGAAAAGTGGGGCGTGCAATATTATTCGGCCCCCTTGCGTTAATACTTTGTAGCGCCGCCTTTTGCTGCAATTCCAGCTGCAAGTCTCTTGGGGTTGTCTCTATCAGTTTTGCACATGGAGACACTGACATTCTTGCCCATTCTTCTTTGCAAAACAGCTCGAACTCAGTGAGGTTGGATGCAGAACGTTTGTGAACAGCGGTCTTCAGCTCCTTCCACAGATTCTCAATTGGATTCAGGTCTGGACTTTGACTTGGCCATTCCAACACCTGGATATGTTTATTTGTGAACTATTCCATTGTAGATTTGGCTTTATGTTTTGGATCATTGTCTTGTTGGAAGATAAATCTCCATCTCAGTCCCAGTCAGGGTGTGTTGCTTTTACGCCAAACATATCGTTTTGCATTGTGGCCAAACAGTTTGATTTTGGTTTCATGTGACCAGAGCACCTTCTTCCACATGTTTGGTGTCTCCCAGGTGCTTGTAGCAAACTTAAAACAACACTTTTTATGGATATCTTTGAGAAATGGCTTTCTTCTTGTCACTCTTCCATAAAGGCCAGATTTGTGCAGTGTACGACTGCTGGTTGTCCTATGGACAGACTCTTCCACCTAAGCTGTAGATCTCTGCAGTTCATCCAGAGTGATCATGGGCCTCTTGGCTGCATCTCTGATCAGTCTTCTCCTTGTTCGAGATGAAAGTTTAGAGGGACGGCCGGGTCTTGGTAGATTTGCAGTGGTCTGATACTCCTTCCATTTCAATATGATTGCTTGCACAGTGCTCCTTGGGATGTTTAAAGCTTGGGAAATCTTTTTGTATCCAAATCCGGCTTTAAACTTCTCCACAACAGTATCTCGGACCTGCCTGGTGTGTTCCTTGGTCTTCATGATGCTCTCTGCGCTTTGAACAGAACCCTGAGACTATCACAGAGCAGGTGCATTTATACGGAGACTTGATTACACACAGGTGGATTCTATTTATCATCATCAGTCATTTGGGACAACATTGGATCATTCATAGATCCTCACTGAACTTCTGGAGTGAGTTTGCTGCACTGAAAGTAAAGGGGACAAATAATATTGCACGCCCCACTTTTCAGTTTTTTATTTGTTAAAAAATTTGACACATCCAATAAATTTCATTCCACTTCACGATTGTGTCCCACTTGTTGATTCTTCACAAAAAATTTAAATTTTATATCTTTATGTTTGAAGCCTGAAATGTGGCAAAAGGTTGAAAAGTTCAAGGGGGCCGAATACTTTCGCAAGGCACAGTAACTGGGACCCTATGTACATAATTTACATGTGGCACGAACGGCAATAGAGAATCTGAATCTCTGATACTGGAAACTTATTTTTTCCTAGAAAAATTAGTTTTAAACTATTCCTGTAAAATGTCTGGTGATAATATCTTTCATTGCAAGTTGTATGACATGGTTTCCATACATAATTAGAAGAGGGGGAAAAAGCATCTTTTCTCACCTGTTTGTTCATTTTGCTTTTTAAGTTTTAGTTGGGTTTAACTGAATTTATTAATCTTATACTCGATGATCTGGACCATTTTGTCCGATGTACATACAGCTATTGCTCTTATCACTCCACTGGTATTAGGTGCAAAACCAGTATACCCTGTTTGGTTCATTTATTGAATAAGCCAATTTTTGTCTCCTGATTACTCAGGTTTTCTGATTTGTTGACTTTTATACTGAAGTACAATCAGTTTTACAGGGTTGTCACAGAAGCCACTGTTTGATGTGCTCTCAAGGTTTTAATCCCTCCTGAATACACATTTCTCACTGAATCATAAAGAAAAAGATATGTTGAATTATGTTATGAAATATTTGCCTTGGCTTGAATCTGACACCTGAATGACGTTTCTGCTTCTTCACCTGAAGCCAGTCACTTGATGGCCATTTTATTGTGCTATTTTCTCAGTAGGGTTCATCAGATCTATCTCTTCTTTCTTTGTTTAGTATGAGTCAGATGAGATGGAGAAGAGTGTGTATCAGGACTACGACAGTGACAGTGACGTCCCCGATGAACTCAAGCAAGACTACGTCGATGAGCAGACAGGTGACGTCCCTCTAAAGGGGTGAGTTTGTTACACCACACTGACACAAAGCATGTTATATAATTATTCAGAGTATCCAGCTGTGAACAACATAAGCACACTAATTAGACATGGGGATCCCTACATGTTTCACTCAAGGCATATCTGAAAAAGTTTGAATTCATAACACTTTTTATGCCAGTGGCAACAGATTTGCTCATCTCTGTCTAACCCAGGCAAAAACTTCTCTAAAAAGATTATTTTCATGAAAATTATCTGTCTTTTTTACTGCCACCTATAAGGTTGGTGACTTTTGGAGAATTATTCACTATTCAAAGGAAGTGAAGGTAATCATCCACTTTTTTTCCTTTTTGTATATAAAAAAATCCATTTTCTTTTGAAAGAAACGTTTGAAGCACTTGAAAAAGCAGCGTCTCCCTCTTGTATTGTTAGAAAGTAATGGATTATAATAAGCATACAATTTGCCCAAACTGCATCACATGTACGTTTGTAATTTATTTTAGGTCTTCTTCATGTGTGAGTTCATTATAGCTGCCTAAATTAGGCAATTTACTTGATTCGACATGATTCTTTTATTCAGTTTTACCTTAATTTGACGATTTTTAAACTGTTATTTATGGTTTTACAACTGAATTAATGAGAACTAAGGATACCTATATGTGCTGCTGATTCTAAATGTCACACCTGACTTACACACAGATCACATTCAATAATATAAATCATTCTGTATACCCTCATTACAAAGTCCTTGTTCTAATAATGATTTCCCATCATTCTAGTTTAGTGTAGTATTTATCATAAATGCAATGTTTAAGCCCAGTGCCTTATTACTTTACAGATTTGTTATGCTCAATAATCTCACTCTGACTGTTACTACAGCTCCTCATTTATATTAATCTGACACACCTGACAGATGGCCACTAAAATGCTAATTTCCTATTCTTTTAAGTGGGGGTTGCTAATGGTTAATTATTGAACGAGCTGTGTTCATGGTCAGGAATAAAACAGCCCATGCATTGACTGCAGCCGATGCAATGACTGCTGGATAATTAGGCTCAGTTTGCTTTGTGTCAGGAGTCTTGGTGCTCCAGGATCACCAGTTCAGAGACTTCACCACTGGGTCCATCTCCTCCCATGTGCAGTGGGTTCCGATAGATCAATTAAAAATCTTGGACCCACACTAAAGGTTTTCAACCCTGTCTGTCATTGCAGAAGATTAGAGCTATTAACATCACTGAGTCTCTTCTTTCATGGGTTTCCTCTTTTTGCATGCATCAGTGTGTCCAAGGAGACTATGAGAAGCAAGAAGAAGTCCGACTACAACCTTAATAAGGCCAATGCACCGATACTCACCAACACCACCCTCAACGTCATCCGGCTTGTCGGTAGGCTCTGTGCACATACACACACACACACTCCACAGCTAACCTCTCTGCTCCCTGCTAGTGAAGCCCACACTCAGCTGCAGCACGTCTCCTCTGGCCTGCTAAGTTTTCAATTTGTTCATCAATTAACCAAATAACTGCGATTGGCAGGTGCTGTGTCGATGTGACTGAACTGCACTATTAATGGTTAGCCTTCACCCTGAGATCTGACCTCCTTTTAAGAAATGCTGCTTGCATGTCTCTGTGGCGTGGCATTAAGGACATCCACGTTGACAAACTGTGCTTTTGGACTATGCGGCCCTTGTAATGTGGTTTTCATGGACCAATCAGAATTCAAGTAGATCATTATCTCTCTGATGTTTTGCTTCTGTTTTTGATCATTATATGAATTCATGTAGAAAAATTAGAGGAAATACATTCTTGTTTTTATAGGGTAAATCTTAACGTCCCACCTTGGTTTCTCACGGTGTCCGTGTGCAAACAGGGCGAAACAAAACGCTGTTCTCTTTAGTCTTTTATCACGTTAGGTTTTATTCATTTTAGTCATATGGAAAGTCTTGAAGCAAGGAAAAGCCCATGTTTCATTTCTTGTAGTCACTTATAATACAGTATGTACAGGACTTGGATGGAATCAGATTGAACCCATTATACTTGGTAAAGAATTTAACAGAAAGTGAATAAAAATATGTATAAAATAGAGCTCTCCAGAGGCAAAGCCAGCAAGATTGAGTTTATTTCTTCTCCTTTTCTTTCCTTCACAAGCTCTTACTCAGTGGTAACCTTGTTACACCCCAGTACCTCAGTATTTATAACTTTTATTACCTTTCAACTAAATTAAATCCTTGCAATTTATATGCAAATGTGGCATGCTCCTGCTTAAGTTCTTCCCTAAAGGATGTAGTTCCACAATGATTACCTTACTGTGGTTTAACTATACTGCCTGGCCAAATAAAAAGTCGCCACCTGGATTTAACTAAGCAAATAGGTACGAGCCTCCTATTAGATAATTACTGCACGGGCAATTATCTTTCAGCTGCAACAAGTTATTTAGCCCCAACTGGTGCAATGAGTTGCTTCTCGTTACTTAAGCAACCATGTTGAAAGACACATCGCGTGGTCGTGGAAAAGATGTCAGTCTGTTTGAGAAGGGTCAAATCATTGGCTGCATCAAGCAGAGAAGACATCTAAGGAGATTGCAGAAACTACTAAAATTGAGTTAAGAACTGTCCAACACATTTTGTCCAACACATTATTAAAAACTGGAAGAATAGTGGGGACCCATCGTCTTCGAGGAAGAAATGTGGCTGGAAAAAAAAATTCTGAATGATTGTGACCGGCGATCACTTAAAAACGTTTGGTGAAATCAAACTGAAGAAAAACAACAGTAGCACTCAGGGCTGTGTTTAATAGTGAAAGTAAGGTTGTTTTCACACCTGATAGTCCGGTAGACTCCGTTCGGTTGGGGACCAATATTCATAACATTTTGTTTACATTTGAGCTGGTGCGTTTGCATTCACACTGCACTGTGCAGTCGAGTCAACCTGTTGAACCAACCTATTCCCCCGCTTGCCTGTGGGGGTGCTGCACCAAGAACTACTGAAAGAAACAACACAAAAACCTCTGAAGACACTTCTTCTTCTTCTTCTTCTGGAAATAAAAACAAAAACAGAGTGGCATCAAGTTTTAGCAGTTTTAGGAGTTATATTTTGTCATTTTTCAAAAATGGACTTAGCATGAGCAGAAGATGAGACAGAAGACCATGGAGAATATTGTTTTTCACACAAGGCAGCTGACGGCTCCATATGAGGTCAGAGAAATGCGTGTTTGTTTGGCCTGCGCTGCACTCCTCTTCTTGCTTGTGGAGCGGGGCCCGGTCTGTTTACATTCACACTGTACTCGAACCGCGCTGGATTTCTCTTCTACCGGACCGAGACCTAGGTTGTAGTCCGGGCCAGAGTTCGCCTTTTTGTTCCATGACAGAGTTCGATGGCGCGTTCACACCTCCCTAAACGAACCGGACTTTCTAGGAAAATGAGCTAGAGTTCGATTAAAGCGGACTAAACAGGGCTGGTGTGAATGCACCCTAAGAGCATTTCCACGCACTAGGGAACTCAAGGGATTGGGACTGAACAGCTGTGTAACCTTAAGAAAACCACTAATCAGTGAGGCTAACCAAAAAAAGGCTTCAATTTGCTAGGGAGCATAAAGATTGGATTCTGGAGCAATGGAAGAAGGTCATGTGGTCTGATGAGTCCTGATTGACCCTGTTCCAGAGTGATGGGTGCATCAGGGTAAGAAGAGTGGCAGGTGAAGTGATGCACCCATCATGCCTAGTGTCTAGTCATCAGTGCAAGATCTTGGTGAAAAATTAATGCAACACTGGATGGAAATAAATCTTGTGACATTGCAGAAGTTTATTGAAACAATGACACAGTGAATGCATGATGTAATCAAAGCTAAAGGAGGTCCAACTAAATATTAGTGTGTGACCTTTTTTTTTTTGGTGGCGACTTTTTTTTGGCCAGGCTGTGTATCTTAATGTCTGAAAGAATGGTTTAAAATCATTATCATTTTGTTCTTTGCAAGCCAATGTGAGCTGAAGCATGATGGATATGTCATCTCTTATCTGTGCTGCTGATTGTCCATGTTGCTGATCTCTTGCCTTTATGCTGCTGTATTCATACCTATCAGCTCACTACAGACTCATGTTCAGGCTGCTGTTTAATATACTGTATTATTTTATATTGTTATTGTTTAGCGTATATCTTAGCTCTTTCAGTGTATCGTATCGTTTGGCATATATCTTAGTTTATATCTTAGATCCTTGTATACTGTTTCTTTTTAGACTTTATATTTTTCTATTTTTGGGTGTAACTGGGACTTTGAGTACATAATTTCGTTCCACCTCATTTGCCACATATGATGTGAATGACATTAAATAAACTTTAATTTTAAAGGGGGATTGATTAGGGTTTTGCATTGGCCAATGCCAATTTTTAGTATTCAGGGCAGTGCTGTTTTATGAAGCTCCCCCCCCCCCCCCATAATTTTATATATTAGTTCAATATTTAAACCCAATAAACGTACTCTTTAAATTTTCCCCAAACAGGAAAGTACATGCAGATGATGAACATCCTGAAGCCAATTGCCTTTGACGTCATCCACTGTGTTTCACAACTTTTCGACTATTACCTTTATGCTGTCTACACCTTCTTCGGACGCAACGACATGGTACAAATTTCTTTATTCTACTAAGTTCTGGGAATTTTTGCACAAATCTTTATAAGCCTTTGGAATGTTTGTTTATCATTTTATTATATATATACTCACATAGTGAGGAAAATAAGTATTTGAACACCCTGCGACTTTGTAAGTTCTCCCACTTAGAAATCATGGAGGGGTCTGAAATTTTCCTCTTAGGTTTATGTCCACTGTGAGAGACATAATCTAAAAAAAAAAAAACTATAAATCACAATTTATGATTTTTTAAAACAATTTATTTGTGTGTTACTGCTGCAAATAAGTATTTGAACACCTGTGAAAATCAATGTTAATATTTGTACAGTAGCCTTTGTTTGCAATTACAGAGGTCAAAGGTTCCCTGCAGTTTTTCACCAGGTTTACTGCAGCAGAGATTTTGGCCCATTCCTCCACACAGATCTTCTCTAGATCAGCCAGGTTTCTGGGCTGTCGCTGAGAAACACGGAGTATGAGCTCCCTTCAAATATTTTCTATAGGGTTTAGGTCTGGAGACTGGCTAGGCCACTCCAGTACCTCGATATGCTTCTTACGGAGCCACTCCTTGGTTCTCCTGGCTGTGTGCTTCAGGTCATTGTCTTGTTGGAAGACCCAGCCACGACCCATCTTCAATGCTCTAACTGAGGCAAGGAGGTTGTTCTCCAAAATCTCACAATACATGGCCCCGGTCATCCTCTCTTTAATACAGTGCAGTCGTCCTGTCTCGTGCAGAAAAACACCCCCAAAGAATGATGCTTCCACCCCCATGCTTCACAGTAGGGATGGTGTTTTGGGTTGGTACTCATCATTCTTCGTCCTCCAAACATGGCGAGTGGAATTAAGACCAAAAAGTTCTATTTTGGTCTCATCTGACCACAGAACTTTCTCCCATGACTCCTCTGGATCATCCAAATGGTCATGGGCAAACTTAAGATGGGCCTGGATGTGTGCTGATTTAAGCAGGGGAACCTTCAGTGCCATGCATGATTTTAAACTATGACGTCTTAGTGTATTACCCACAGTAACCTTGGAACCAGTGGTGCCAGCTCTCCTCAGGTCATGGACCAGCTCCTCCGTGTAGTTCTGGGCTGATTCTTCACCTTTCTTAGGATCATTGATACGCCACCAGGTGAGATCTTGCATGGAGCCCCAGTCCAAGGGAGATTGACAGTCATGTTTAGCTTCTTCCATTTTCTAATAACTGCTCCAACAGTTGATCTTTTTTCACCAAACTGCTTGGCAATTGCTCCGTAGCCCTTTCCAGCCTTTTGGAGGTCTACAATTTTGTCTCTGGTGTCTTTGGGCAGCTCTTTGGTCTTAGCCATGTTAGTAGTTGGAGTCTTACTGATTGTGCGGGGTGGACAGGTGTCTTTATGCAGCTAACGACCTCAAACATGTGCTTCTAATTTAGAATAATAAGTGGAGTGGAGGTGGACTTTTTAGAGGCGGACCAACAGGTCTTTGAGGGCCAGAATTGTTGCTGATTAGCTGGTGTTCAAATAATTATTTGCAGCAGTAACACACAAATAAATTATTAAAAAAATCTGTTCAAATACTTATTTATCTCATTGTATATGTATATGTTTCTATATATGTATATGTATTTGTATATATATATATATATATATATATATGATGTGAATGACAATAAACTTGATTTGAACTTGAACTTTTAGGTATTTTTATCTGATATTTAATCTGTGGACAATATATAATAGAATATAGAGGAAACTGCATTCCCTATCTCAAAGAAAACAATTTACATTTCTTTTTTCTTTTTTAGATAGATAGAATGATATATAGATCGATACGTACTTATTACTCAGTCAGTCATTCCCTCCCTCCCTCCCCGGTGGGGAATTTGATGCATCCAGTAACTCCATCCAGTGCTCTTAATTATACTGTAAAAAGACATGCTTTTTCAAAAAGTATGGTCTGATTTTCTGACGACTCATCATCTAAGTCATTGCAAGATTTTTTTATTCAGTTTTGATCACATTTGAATCAAAACAGAGCTTTACTTAGGTTTCTCTCAAAAAGTGTTTTTTGTTTAACCGTAAAGCAGTAATGAGCTCCTTATAATGCTGTAAAAGGTGCATTAAAAATGTGTTAACACTTGTCTGCATAACGCAGCTAAGACTGACACACTGTGCACACCCTACATTCATCGTTTATTCTGATTATGATTCGTACTGGGGTTACCATAACTCACACACAACTTAAAGCTGAAAACAAACAGAATATAAAACCAACCAGAAAGAAGAGTTTATTAAAAGCTGCAGAGCAAAGTGATGATTGTGTGAGGAAATCTGTCAGTTTATGGAAAGTAGTCATGACAGAGCTCTGGCATAAAAAGTTGAGGTGACTTTTGGTTTCTCCCCCTGCAGCTTAATGGCAGACGCAGCTGCTGCAGTGAGGGCGTTTCCAGTCCAGCTGCACCTTGTCAGGTGCAGAAGCTGCAACGGAACCGCCCTCTAATGACAGACACGTGCATGTTTGTGTGAGTCTGTCTCACTCTGTCCTCACTCCAACTACCGTATTTTTCAGCCTATAAGTCACAGTTTTTTGCATAATCTGCATGCCATGCGGTTTATATGCCGAAGCGACTTATTTATGAATTTTTTTCCCATATTTATAAACCAATTTTTGTCTGAGATATGACGTTTTCATTCTGACTGAAAATATTGAACACTACCATTTCAGCTGCTAGATGGCACTCGAGTAGTATGGCATGCCATTGTGTCATGTAATAGGTAAAAGTGGCTATTAATGATGCAAGCAGCTTGCCATAGTCTGCCACCTTCGTCCGGCTCACCTGGAGCAACCGTCAAATCAGCTTCATTTCACTCCACCACCCTGGCGAAATGCAGCTAATTTGACCATTGAAGTGAATTTATTAAGTAAAAGTTCAACTGAGACACACCTTTCCTTTAAAGTTGAACAAACAATTGTTTTAGGTGCTAATCTTGTTAAATTTCAAAGAAATACACAGCGAGTCCTCTTGTTCACACACCTACTTTCATGTATCGGCTTTTGAAATGCAGCTGATTTAACCATCAAAGTGCATTTATTCAGTTAAAGTTAGTCTGAGACACACCTTTACTATAATTTCGAGCAAACAAATAACTGTTTTAAGTGTCAATCTTGTTAAATTCTTGTTAAAGTCCCCCAGTGCATGCTCCCATGGAGCAGCCAATCGATTTTTGGCACAACACCAGCCCACATTTCCAGGTTGTCAGCGGTCAAGTCAAGTCAACTTTATTTATAGAGCACATTTAAAACAGAACCTGTTATCAAAGTGCTTAACAACAACAATCAACGAGTAAATTAAAGAGAAAAAAAAAAAATATATATATATATATATATATACACACACAATACACTAATAATAATAACTGAAGAATTAATAAAAAGCATTTAAAACATAGGGTCACAGATTAAAAAACACTAGATCAATGTACACTGTATGAAATGCCTGAGAGAACAGATGTGTTTTAAGCAGGGATTTGAAGTGAGGAATGGAGGTGGCCTGCCTGATGTTGGGGGCAGGTTGTTCCAGAGTTTGGGGCCCATGACTGAAAAAGCCCGATCTCCTTTGAGCTTCAATCTTGTTTTTGGAACAGCCAAAAGCAGCTGATCAGATGATCTCAGGGCCCGAGAGGGAACGTAAGGTTCCAGAAGCTCAGAGAGGTAAAGGGGTGCGAGGCCATTTAAGCATTTGAAGGTCAACAGAAGAATTTTAAAGATTATCCTCGTACAAACAGGGAGCCAGTGAAGGGAGGACAGAACTGGTGTAATATGTTCAGACCTACGAGTTCCGGTTAAAAGCCGAGCAGCAGCATTCTGGACGAGCTGAAGACGTGAGATGGAGGCCTGGCTGATCCCAGCATAGAGTGCATTGCAATAGTCCAATCGGGTTGTGACAAAGGCGTGGACTAGCTTCTCAAGGTCGGGTCTGGACAACACTGGCTTGAGCTTAGCTACCTGTCTGAGTTGGAAGAATATTTTCTGCAGAACAGAGTTGATTTGTTTGTCAAACTTGAAGTCAGAGTCTAAAACCATCCCAAGATTTTTACCAGACTGCTTCAGATATGGCTGAAGAGAGTCCAGGTTGACAGGATCAGTGGCGGCAGTTGAGCTAGGGCTAAAAACAATGACTTCAGTCTTGTCATTGTTAAAACTTAAGAAATTTGAAGCCATCCAGGCCTTAATGTTGTCCAGTTATTTTAACAGAGGGTGAATGGAGCAAACACTTACTGGTTTCACAGGCAGGTAGATCCGGCAGTCATCAGCATAGCAATGGAATGAAAGACCATGTTTCCTCTTGATAGACCCCAGTGGGAGCAAATAAAGTGAGAACAGAAGGGGTCCAAGAATCGAACCCTGTGGGACCCCACAAGAAAGAGGTAATGAGGCGGATACATTATTACCAACCTTGACACAGAAACTCCTGCCACTTAGGTATGAGCTGAACCATTTTAATGCAGCACCTGTGATCCCAACCCACTGTTCCAGCCGTGATATAAGGATACTGTGGTCAGCAGTATCAAAAGCAGCAGTAAGGTCCAGGAGCACAAGTACCACAAATTGACCAGAATCGTTTGATATCATAATGTCTTTACAAACCCTCACTAACGCTGTTTCAGTGCTTTGGAGTTGCTTAAAACCAGGTTGAAAAATTTTAAAGATTCTGTTCTCATTCAAAAACTTGTTTAATTGAATGAAAACTATTTTCTCCAGGATTTTGGACAGGATGGGAAGTTTTGAGATTGGTCTGAAATTTGAGCAAGACGAAGGGGTCAAGTCCAGGTTTCTTAATTAACGGATGAACTACTGCATGTTTGAAAACATCGGGAACCACACTTGTCGCAATACTACTATTTACAATAGTAAGAACAGAGGGTCCAATCGTGGGTAGAAGCGGTGACACATTATAGACTTATATGGCAAAGTGACATATTTATGGATTTTTCCACTTTAATAGACGTGTTTGGACTGATACAACTTATAGGGCGGTGCGACGTACGGCAGAAAATATGATACATACATGTCCAGTCTGACTGGACGAACTTGCATGGTTGTTTGAACAAAAGTGTTTTACCCCTTTCCTGACACAACTCTCACCATTTACCGGGGCTTTGGACCGGCACCAGAGATACACCCACTTGTTCTCCCTAGTGGCTGGGTTATCATCATCGACGTGTGTCATATCTGAGAAATACAGATCAGGTACAGTTGTCCCTCTTGTATCATGGGTGTTTGGGACCACGCCCATCCGCGATAAGTGAAAAACCGCCAAGTAGGGATACAGTAGTTCAAGTTCAGTTCAAGTTCAGTAAACTTTGTCATGACATGCCAAGCTGCAATCACACTCCTGTAACTCCCAGTCTCCCTCCTTAACCTTAAACAGGCAACGTGCACCAGGAGATACACTCTCTTTAACATCCTATGGGGGGGTGCTGGGAGTTTTTCACTAATCAAGTTAGCATTTATCAAAAGTCTTGTCTAGTATTAGCATCTAGATCACATGATTTGGTTCAGGTTATCTTTCATCGTTTCATCAGCCTGATCAGAAAACAGCATGGCCGCCTGTGGTGGAGAACCTGCTTCCTTGACGGTAAGTAATCATATATTAGTTGTACTTAATTTTAATAAAACATCAATATAAATTGCTAAAACTAATTAGGACTTTTTCTAAACATTCTGATAAAAAATATGTTCCAGCTGTATTTGTGGTGTTACTTAGCAGCTTTTGAAATATATGTATCCCCTGAGATACGTTGCCAGATGAGGGTAAAAATTTGATCAATATGCATTATTCAAAATTTTGTTTCAAACTGGAAGGCATGTTGATAATTACAACAGTACCGTATATTATCATGCACGGCTGTTACCATTATAACAGTATAACTGTATTTTTCTTTAATTTTTTTTTTTCAAGCAGGGCATCTCGGCTAGGTCTTTTTATGGGAAAATCAAGGAAAGCACAGGAGTGAGAGTGATAGAAGAGATCCCTGCAAGTTCTTCTGACTCTGAGTCAAACAGTGATGAGGACCAGGAAGTAATTTTCAACCAGCATGAGATAGAGACAGTGAATGAAGGCAGTTCTGATGAGGAGGATGAAAGTTGTTATGAAGAGGTTGAAGAGATGGATCATAGTACAAAGTCCAAACTAGCTAAGGAATTCATGTGAAAGTAGTTTGATTTAGGGACATTTATATGCACAACCCATACTAATTTATGTATTTTGTAGTTGATGTAAGATGAAAAAACACAACTCTTCTGTATGATTGTGATATTTACTAAAAGTAGCATGCCACTAACCAGCTAAATTCAGTCTGTACTTGCCAATTATACAACTTTGTACAAATAACAATGCAGTTATGTATATATTTTTGTTTGTTATTTACAGCTAGTGTAAGAAAAGGTTTGAGCACCAGTCAACAGCAGCTGCCAGTGAATTCAGCGTGCCTAATGAGCTGTCTTCTCCACATTGCTACTTTGCTAAATTTTTTGATGACGATCTATTTCAACATATTGCTGAACAAACACATCTTTACAGCTGTCAATTAATTGGAGCTAGCATCAGTACCACTGTGGATGAAATCAAGTCATTTGTTGGCATTAAGCTAATAATGGGAGTGGTGAGAATGCTATCGATTATTAGGCAGAAGACACACGTTATGCCAAAATAGCTAATGTGATGACAGTAAAAAGCTTTAAATGCCTTTCTCGATTCATCCACTTTCAAGACAATCAGGCATTACACCCAACCCAAGATTGGCTCTACAAAGTGACACCAGTGCTGGAGCACATGAGAAAGAAGTGTCTGGAAATTGACCGTAAGAACAAGTTCTCAATAGATGAAATTATGGTCCCTTACAAAGGAACAAAGGCTGGGTCTCTCCAACAGTATCTCTAAAAAAACCTCACCATTGGGGCTTCAAGATCTTTGTTCGAGCAGGCGTTTCTGGGATAATGTATGACTTCCTGACATACACTGGAAAGAGAACATTTGGTGCAGGCCAAGGTCCAGCCACAACAGATGCATACAAAGGCCAACAACTCCAAGACCCATGGTTGATGTCCGCCATGATCGAGTAGATCACTTCCCAACTTTCACAGACAAGGGAAGGTGCAGGCTTTGCCCCGAAGGACAGACATCAATCTTCTGCACAAAATGTGGTGTTCGTCTGTGCATTGTCCATCCATCCATCCATCCATCCATCCATTTTCTTCCGCTTATCTGGGGTTGGGTCACGGGGGTAGCAGCCTAAGTAGGCAGGCCCAAACTTCCCTCTCCCCAGCCACTTGGGCCAGCTCTTCCGGGGGAATCCCGAGGCGTGCCCAGGCCAGCCGAGAAACATAGTCCCTCCAGCGTGTCCTGGGTCTTCCTCTGGGCCTCCTTCCGGTGGGACGTGTCTGGAACACCTCACCAGGGAGGCGTCCAGAAGGCATCCTAAATAGATGCCCAAGCCACCTCAACTGGCTCCTCTCGACGTGGAGAAGCAGCGGCTCTACTCTGAGTCCCTCCCGGATGATCGAGCTTCTCACCCTATCTCTAAGGGAGAGCCCAGACACCCTGCGGAGAAAACTCATTTCAGCCGCTTGTATCCGAGATCTCATTCTTTTGGTCACAACCCAAAGCTCGTGACCATAGATGAGGGTAGGAACATAGATCGATCGGTAAATTGAGAGCTTCGCCTTTTGACTCAGCTCTCTCTTCACCACGACAGACTTGTACAGCGCCTGCTTCACTGCAGACGCTGCACCTATCCGCCTATCGACCTCACGCTCCATTTTTCCCTCATTCGTAAACAAGACCCCAAGATACTTGAACTTCTCCACTTGGGGTAGGACCTCCTCCCTGACCCGGAGAGGGCACTCTACCCTTTTCCGGCTCAAGACCATGGCCTCGGATTTGGAGGAACTGATCTTCATCCCGGCCGCGTCGCATTCGGCTGCAAACCGCTCCAGCGAAAGCTGTAGATCACGATCTGATGAAGCCAATAAGACCACATCATCTGCAAAAAGCAGAGACGCAATCCTAAGGCCACCAAAACGGATCCCCTCAACACCTTGGCTGCACCTAGAAATTCTGTCCATAAAAGTTATGAACAGAATCGGTGACAAAGGGCAACCTTGGCGGAGTCCAACTCTCACTGGGAACATGCCCGACTTACTGCCGGCAATGCGGACCAGGCTCTGACACCGGTCATACAGGGACCTAACAGCCCATATCAAAGGGCCCGGTACCCCATACTCCCAGAGTACCCCCCACAGGGTTCCCCGAGGGACGCGGTCGAACGCCTTCTCCAAGTCCACAAAGCACAAGTAGACCATTGGGCAAACTCCCACGCACCCTCCAGGACCCTGCTGAGAGTGTAGAGCTGGTCCAGTGTTCTACGGCCAGGACAAAAACCGCACTGCTCCTCCTGAATCCGAGGTTTGTGAAACCTATGGACCCTCCTCTCCAGAACCCCCGAATAGACCTTACCAGGAAGGCTTAAGAGCGTGGTTACCCTGTAGTTGGAACACACTCTACGGTCCCCCTTTTTGAATAGGGGGACCACCACCCCGTTCTGCCAGTCCAGGGGAACTTCCCCCGATGTCCACACGATATTGCAGAGTCGCGTAAGCCAACACAACCCTACAACAACCAGAGTCTTAAGGAGCTCCGGGTGAATCTCATTCACCCCCGGGGCCCTGCCACCGAGGAGCTTTTTAACCACCTCGGTGACCTCAGCACCAATCCCCAGGCTCCGCTTCCTCATTGGAAGACATGCCAGTGGGATTAAGGAGGTCTTCAAAGTATTCCGCTCACCGACCCACAACATCCTGAGTTGAGGTCAGCAGCATACCACTCCCACTATAAACAGTGTTGGTGGCGTACAGCTTTCCCCCCCTGAGACGCCGGATGGTGGACCAGAATCGCCTCGAAGCCGTGCGGAAGTCATTCTCCATGGCCTCTCCGAACTCCTCCCATGCTCGAGTTTTTGCCTCAGTGACCACCCAAGCCGCATGTTGCTTGGACTGCCGGTATCCATCAGCTGCTTCCGGGGTCCCACAGGCCAAAAAGGCCCGATAGGACTCCTTCATCAGCCTGACAGCATCCCTCACCGACGGTGTCCACCATCGGGTTCGAGGGTTGCCGCCGCGACAGGCACCGACAACCTTGCGGCTGCAGCTCCGGTAAGCCGCCTCAACAAGAGGCACAAAACATGGTCCACTCAGATTCAATGTCCCCCACCTCCCTCGGAACATTTTCAAAGTTCTCCCGGAGGTGGGAGTCAAAACTCCGTTTCACAGGAGACTCTGCCAGACGTTCCCAGCAAACCCTCACAGTACGTTTGGGTCTGCCAGGTCTGACCGTCATCCTCCCCCACCATCTGAGTCAACTCACCACCAGGTAGTGATCAGTGGACAGCTCTGCCCCTCTCTTCACCCGAGTGTCCAAGACATGTGGCCGCAGATCAGATGAGACGATGACAAAGTCGATCATCGAACTGCGGCCTAGGGTGTTCTGGTGCTAAGGGCACATATGGACACCCTTATGCTTGAACAAGGTGTTCGTTATTGACAATCCATGACAAGCACAGAAGTCCAACAACAGAACACCAGTTGGGTTTGTCGTCATATTTATTATCTGCATTGTTTTTATGTCTATATTTTTGATTTGCTTCCTTTTATATATTGCTTCATGTGTTGTCTGTTGTTCTATCTGTACAGCACTTTGGTTGGCCTTGTAACTGTTTGAAGTGCTCTATAAATAAAATGGTATGGTATGGTAATAATATGAAATAATATTTTGCAAATTATTTTCCACTCTTGCCTGTTTTAGGGTATAAACAATTTAAATGTATATACAGTATTGTAACATTTTAAGTAATGGATTGTTTATTTAAAATGTTACAGAACAGTATATATATATATATATATATATATATATATATATATATATATATTATATATTTTAAACTCTTCCCACACTCTTGCAATATTCTAAACAATGTTTCTAAATGCTAAACACTCTAAAAGAGCACAGCATGTCATGATTTTAGCTCTCTTCCTCCTCTTTGCCACCTTATACATTTTATTGTTGGATGTAACTGTGACCCTGTGTACATAATTTCGCTCCACCACATGTACCACATGAGGTGTGAATGACAATAAAGAATCTCTGACTCCACTTCCCCGCTCTGCACAGAGAAACAGCTGATCAGCTGCAGCAGGAAGTTTATCCTGCAGTAAGAGCTGCACACAGAACAGAGTAAGCTTTTTCTGCAGCTCTGGGCTGCACCAAGGTGCAACAGGTGTTAAATAATTTAAAATAATTCATTAAAAAAAAAATCCATGCCAATCGTGTGGCTCATCCATCAATCAGCCAGTTGTGTGTCATGTCCACTCTTATTTTGGAAAACCGCGATAGAGCGAGTCCACTATAAATGAACCACAAAGTAGCAAGGGACTACTGTATTTCAAATCAAACATCTGCCACAAGTTGCGTAAGTTAGGCAAAACTTTTGAGTAAGTTAGCAGCACACTGCCGCCTTCTCAAGTGACTTGTCCCGCCCACTCTGACTGACTATTTTTTCCCCACTTTGGAGTCAGTTGACGTGTCGACGTGTGGTAATCACATGACCGATTTCGGGTGCTCTAACGGAAGTCTCAGAGACAGACAGAGTAATGTAATAGGAGCTTATGTTGAGGTCATGCTGAGGGCGTTCCCCATGTGAGACACTCACTCATGCTACTCAGAGAACCGGAGAAACGGCAGCAACCTAAAGTTTTGCATCTGCTAGGGGCAAGTTATGAATATGTTACTCATATTGTTAAACATAGGTTATATATTCATTCAGCTCATTAACAATGCTTTATATACACATCCAAAAGAGGCTTCCATCTTCAATGTATGCCTGCATGTTTACCAACATGTTCAATCATAGGCATAAGTAGTCTAAAATGTTTAAGTGTGACAAGGCCATAATACAGCAATTATAAAGTGAAGCCATTGTTGGACTTTGTACTGGTAATGCTACAATTTAGAACTATGAACTTATTTTTTCCATCCTATAGATAACTACTAAACATGCCTTGTGTGTTTAAATGTGATTTGCATGTTGCATCATTCAGCTCTGCCTATATAGTTATATCAGATAACTGCAGAGGCTCTTGAGTTTTAGTCTGGGGCAA